GAGAGAGAGAGAGAGAGAATGAGAGAGCATAAAAAAAAAAAAAAAAAAAAAAAAAAAAACAGAGAGATGGGGAGAAATAGAAATACGGAAAGAAAGGGAGAGAGAACAAAAATAAGTTAAAGAAAGAACGAAAGACAGAGAGAGAAAGAAAGAAAGAGAAACATATATATCCCTTTTAAGTTTGTGTCCCCTGACCTCTCGTTTTCTGTCGCACCTGTGACAATTGAAAGCCGTAATAACCACGTCATTCGCAGGTGACCTTATTACTCGAGATTACGTCACTTCCGCTCCCGGCCGACGGCAGGTGAGGAAGAGGGAGAGGAGGAGGAGAAGGAGGAAGAAGAAGAGGGAGAGGAGGAGGAGGAGGAGATAGAAGAAGAGGGAAAGGAGGAAGAGAAGGAGAATCTTTCTTTCTTCCGGAGCTAAAAATTACTTTATGAAAGACATGAGGGTCAGCTTTATATTTATAAGTGATAAGTGTAGTTTTATTACGTAGATAAAGTAGATATGAAGATCGATTGATTGATTGATAGGTAGATAGACAGACTGACAGATAGATAGATAGATAGACGATAAAGTAGATATGAAGAATGATTGATTAATTGATAGATAGACAGACAAACAGATAGATAGGTAGGTAGATAGACGATAAAGTAGATATGAAGATTGATTGATTGATTGATAGGTAGATAGACAGACTGATAGAGAGATAGGTAGGTAGATAGACGATAAAGTAGATATGAAGATTGATTGATTGATTGATAAGTATATAGACAGATAGATAGATAGGTAGGTAGATAGATAGACGATAAAGTAGATATGGAGATTGATTGATTGATTGATAAGTATATAGACAGATAGATAGGTAGGTAGATAGATAGACGATAAAGTAGATATGAAGATTGATTGATTGATTGATAGGTAGATAGACAGACAGACAGATAGATAGATAGGTAGGTAGATAGACGGATATGTAAATATGTAGATAGACAAATAGAGTGATTATTAAACTGACCGATTCACTGACTGACTGATACATTAAATGAGTAATTGACTGACTGACTTGTTGATAGATAGAGAAAGAAAGGCATATCACGGGTGAAGAAATCAGTTTCAAAATAGGTAGAGAGATAGATAAATAAATAGATAGATAGGTAGATAGATTGATATATAGATAGATAGATAGACAGGTAGATAGATTGATAGATAAATAGATAGGTAGATAGATAGATAGGTAGATAGATTGATAGATAGATAGATAGATAGATAGACAGATAGATAGATTGATAGATAGATAGATAGACAGGTGGATAGATAGATAGACAGATAGATAGATTGATTGTTAAGTTGACTGATTCACTGACTCATTCATTGATAGATAGACAAGAACTTCAAAGAATGGCATATCACAGGTGAAGAAACCGATTTCAAAATAGCATTTGACTTCAAAACACGCGTTGCCTCTAACCCAGGAGCCTTTAAAGTCATCATACATTAAGTATTATGTAGCTTATTTCCGTTTTTTAAGACCAAGAGCTGTGGTTGTTTTGTTCCGAACGAACAGTAAAATGTTATCCATTTTTCGCTGCGGATTAGAGTCCAAAATAACAAGGACATCTTTACAGTGTGGCTTAGCACTGTTCTTCTGTTTCTTGTTGTAAGTGCTGCTCGTTATTATCGACGTTGTTTTGCTGTTTTCGCTCTCTTTCTCTCTTTCTCTCCTTCTCTCTCTCTCTCTCTCTCTCTCTCTCTCTCTCTCTCTCTCTCTCTCTCTCTCTCTCTCTCTCTCTCTCTCTCTCTCTCTCTCTCTCTTTCACTGACGTTTTGTTATTGCCATTATCATTATAATTAATATCATTATCATTACTATTATCATGAACGTTATTGCCATAATGGCTTTTATCATTATAATAGTAATGATAACGAATATTATTATCATTATCATTATTATCAATATCATTATTATTATCCTTATTATCATTATTAATATTATCATTATTATTATTATTATTATTATCATTATTATTATTATTATTATTATTATTATTATTATTATTATCGTTATCATTATTATTATTACTATCGTTATCATTATTATCATAACAATCATGATTATTATTTGGATTACTGTTATTAATATAATTTCTGGTATGTGTATAATCATTGTTACCATCACTATTATTATTATCATTATTATTATTATCATTTTCCTTGTCATTATTATTATCATTATTATTATTATTATTATTATTATCATTATTTATTATTATTATCCCTATTATTATCATTACTACTACTACTAGTAATAGCAGTATTAGTGGTACTATTAGAAACAGTAAAACATTAATAGTAATAATAATACCATAATCACTATCATTACTAATATCATTGTTAATATCATTATTACTATTTTTTATTGCTTTTCCTATTATATTTGCCACCTTCATCATTTTCATAATTGTTACAATTATCATTATTATTACTGTTGTTGTTATTCTTG